GAAGTCACTTGTATACGGTTACAGTTTAGCCCTTGCTTGATCCAAATTTTTCGGGTTGTCACAGTATACTGGCTATTTGTGTTTTAAAACTAATTAACATTCGATAGGATTTTATAAATTTAAAACTGTTAGTGCATAATAAACACATAAAATGCATATTGCAATATATAGTATAGTGAGATAAATCTCCTGACAATCTCGAAACAACTAAGTATGTAGCTTTGTAGACAACTTTGACCAACACGTATCAACTTGTTTTGATGAAATTCGAATATCTGCGAGCAGAACTTCAATGCCTACTTATCTATTTCCAAAACTCCCAAAGATTCACTACTTAACTACTAAAAATTACAGAAAGAGAAGTCAAATCACGAGGGACCGAAATGCTCAGGGGTAAGCAGAGAAAGACTCTTGAATCAAGAGAAAGGTATTGCAGGAAATGAAGGATGGATGGCCTCCTATTTATAAGGAGGATAGGAAGGCATGGTGCGCCCATACCAAGGCATGTTATGCTTTTGAGGCGGTGTAGAGGTTGATTCCTGGTGTGCCACATGTCCACTTCTAGTGGTATCACGTCATCAGCTTCGCATGTAAAACTTTGGAACTTCGAAAAGTCATATATTTTGCATACGAGCTCCATTTTTTATGTTCTTTATATATCTGGTTTCACATCGACGAGTACTACAACTTTCATTTAGACTTCATCAGCTAATTCACATTTTATTTTTCATTTTACAGTCTGAGAATGTTACACTGTAATATCGCTGCAAAATTCATAACTTCTTCATACGAAACTCCGTCCTCGACGTTCTTTATATGGACGGATTTATATTTACGTAGACATCAACTTTCATTTAGATTGTTTTTTCTAATAAGTGACCTATATCCATTTCATATTTTATGACACACGTTATGGTATCGTGCCGAACACGAAACTTCGAAAAATTATAAATTCTTCATGCGAAGTCAGATTTAGGCATTCTTTAGACTCACGGTTTCATATTGACGTCTACTATATCTTTCATGATGATTACTTTGGCTAAAAATTTATATATTTTTACTTCGAATTTTATAACAAACATTTTATATTAAAATATACAGTAAAGTGAAAAGAGGGGGTTACAAAACCTATGACAAATTCACTTCAAATTATCAAAGTTATAGTTCCTTATTATAGGTGTATGAGTTTTCCTAGTTAGACATGTAATATAGTCTTTTGAAACACATACATAGAGAAAATTCTTATTGATACAACAAGTTACAAGACACATACTAAAATCCACTGTTTTATTATGTATAATAGATATATGATCATGTTAATCTTGCTGCGATTGAAATGATGAAAGAAAAAGAGGTTTCCCCATGCATACATTGAATTTGAAATGCATTTAATCATGATAAAGAAAATCCACACATATGATATGATGTCTCGAATATAGGTATCCAAAAGACCCTATTGGGGTGTATCTCTCCTCGAAAGGTAATGCCTTATAAATATGATATCATGCAGGGCCGGTCCAGACGGTGGGCAACCCGGGCGACCGCCCAGGGCCCACGTCTCCAGGGAGCCCAAAATTTCTAGGCTATGTAGTGTGTGTGTGTATATATATATATATATATATATATATATATATATATATTACCTAAATGATTTTTAATGCCTAAAGTTGGTTCAAACTCAAAGTAACTCAAAAGATAAACAATTTGGCTTGTTTGTTATTGCTAATTAAAGAAGTCTATAGTGAAGAATAAATGATATTTTTTTGAATCTTTATTATATTTGTCCTTGAGGGGTTTTTTATTTCTTTTCGCCCCGGGTCCCATATACGTTTGGACCGGCCCTGATATCATGATAGCTTGATATGTTCTTCATATGTTGGTGTAGACATGGGGAGTCACCATTGTGAACATGACCTTATATATATATATATATATATATATATATATATATATATATATATATATATATATATATATATATATATATAAAATGGTACCTAAATGAAAAAAGATTTTATGAAATGATAGAGTCGATTTTTTTCCAAATGGATGTATGCACCAGCTTGCATTAGTGTGTGGTTATGCGTTGCATACAGTTCATATATGCATGGTATATGATTTAAAAACAAAAATAAATTGAAATGTAACGTGTCTAAATGTAAAGGTTTATAAACCGTGCTTCAAAGTTAAGGTTTATGAAATTTGATTTAAAGTAAATATTTATACAATAATGATTTGAAATGCTACTTTGTATTTCAACTTATATATCTCATAAGAAAAGTTTGAATTATGTATTTATGTTGCTCGCCGTTCAAAAAAATGTATTATTGTTTTTTAATGCCATGTATTATAGGTTAAAGATCAAGATATATGATAAGGACTTAGCTTAATTTAGCTTCCTGTACATGAAATATTTAATAATTAGAAGAATTGACTTTGGGGATTAGTAAGAGGGAAGCATAAACATTACATTCAGAATATATATGTATCTAGGCATCTCTATGACATGTGATGGATTTTGTAACCCCTGGGTTTGTACTAGTTCCAGTTTGTTTGTTTTATAGACTGGATTTCCGCACCGGACATTGACATTATTGCAAATTATAGCCTCTTATATATGTTAATCCTTATGATAAAATTGTTGTGTTACATCTATCGTCCATATTGGCTTCTTGGGCCACATCTTCCCGTATGAACCCATAATCTGGCTCTTTGTGCTTGGGATTTATGTGGCACTCTTTAACACACCTCTCCATCAAGTATACAATTGGTGGTTACTGTGTTGAATGAACTTGAAGAAACATATATAGCTAAAAAAAATTTAGAACAAATAACTCTTAAAGAATAACTATTTTTCTTAAGGGTGAAGATTTTAGTATATAATTCTTCAAAGAGGATTTAACTATAAACCCATGTAAACAAAAACAATAACTTAACTTCGTTTTGTTTACCTTTATAAAAATGATGGTAACATGGTTTTCGCAATATATTTTTTTTCTAGGATTGATTTATAATTAAGCTTAAAAAAGAAGAAAAATAGTAAAACGTGTGCAAGGACACGCTCTATGAGAGACTTGACGTAAATGACATGTCTATATTTTAGTAAATATGGTTAGAATCTTATTCGGTGATGATACATTTATTGAAGTTTTTAAATAGCAAATAATAACACCATGACACTTTGATGGTTGTTAATAATTAAAGGTAAATGCAAAAATAACGTGTTTTTATTTATTTGCGTACGATTTAATTATAATTTTTCCGTTTAAAAAAATTGTTATACTTTTATTTAATATATTACAATATGATATTTTCAAGTCAGTATTTGTTAATACAATGCAATTTAGAATTCTATCCATTTATAACATCATATTTTCAATTGTTTTTCATTAGAACATTAATGCAAAGTAACAAAATTGTTTCGTATAGTAACAAAATTGTTTTGTATCCACCCTTTAAGTATGGATCTATAACAAATATTAATGCAAAGTTAGAGCCGTCTTTTGCGGATATTGGCGCAAATTTGGTGATGTCCATGAACTTGTATTCCCAAACGTGTGTCTCATCATATGCTTGGAACAATCTATTCAACTATAGTAACAAAATTGTTTTGTATCCACCCTTTAAGTATGGATCTATAACAAATATTAATGCAAAAGTTAGAGCCGTCTTTTGCGGATATTGGCGCAAATTTGGTGATGTCCATGAACTTGTATTCCCAAACGTGTGTCTCATCATATGCTTGGAACAATCTATTCAACTATAGTAACAAAATTGTTTTGTATCCACCCTTTAAGTATGGATCTATAACAAATATTAATGCAAAGTTAGAGCCGTCTTTTGCGGATATTGGCGCAAATTTGGTGATGTCCATGAACTTGTATTCCCAAACGTGTGTCTCATCATATGCTTGGAACAATCTATTCAACTATAGTAACAAAATTGTTTTGTATCCACCCTTTAAGTATGGATCTATAACAAATATTAATGCAAAGTTAGAGCCGTCTTTTGCGGATATTGGCGCAAATTTGGTGATGTCCATGAACTTGTATTCCCAAACGTGTGTCTCATCATATGCTTGGAACAATCTATTCAACTATAGTAACAAAATTGTTTTGTATCCACCCTTTAAGTATGGATCTATAACAAATATTAATGCAAAGTTAGAGCCGTCTTTTGCGGATATTGGCGCAAATTTGGTGATGTCCATGAACTTGTATTCCCAAACGTGTGTCTCATCATATGCTTGGAACAATCTATTCAACTATAGTAACAAAATTGTTTTGTATCCACCCTTTAAGTATGGATCTATAACAAATATTAATGCAAAGTTAGAGCCGTCTTTTGCGGATATTGGCGCAAATTTGGTGATGCCCATGAACCTGTATTCCCAAACGTTTGTCTCGCCAGCGGTGCAATCCAATTCTATATCACTTTTTTCCTGAAAACTTGAACTTAAAAATATGAACACTTGTACAAGAAAAACCAAAAGTTTGCATATACATTTCCATAATCACAAACAAGGGTGCTACATTATTATATGAAATATTTCAATGATTATAATGAATGGTCCAATTTTAAGGGTATTTTAAGATTGTTTTTAATCAATTGTCTTGTGAAAAGAAAATCAAAGATTTCATGTTATACTTTTGGGTGTAAATATTTAATCTCAAAAGAGTTTGTTTTTTTCTTTTCTTTTCTTTTTTAATTTTTTGGTTTAATCTTACTTTTGGTTTTGGGTTTTTTCATATGAAAACTGTTCAAATTATATATTTTTTTAAACTATAAAAACAAGAAAAATTCCAAAACTTTTAACATTTTATTTGAAAACGCACATCTTAAGCCATATTATAAAAGTTTAGGTACTAAAATGTAAAAGTGTCTGAAACAGAAGCACCCAAATTGTAAATTATTTCATATCAGCAATTTCATGCTGCTATTCCTTCAACTACCTTTGTGCAGATTTGCATATCACGATACCGGAGATTTGATGTTACACAATGTCGTTGGTTCAACGGCAACCGACCGATTCGTCGGACTGCATGCTACCGGGACCACCCTCCCGCAACAATGGTGGATCCGCTGACCTCGTATCAACCGGCCTCCTCGCATATGCCGCCGGTAGCACCGTCCCTATCCTCGATACTCGCTCCATGCAACTCGTCTGCGTCTTTCCTATCCCTCCTCCTGCTGCCACATCCGGCACCAGCAGCACATCCTCCTCCTCCTCACTGTCCCCTTATGTCACCTCCGTCCGTTGGTGCCCTACCTCGCTCCGTCTAGACCTTCTCTCCCATGACCTTTCTTCGTCCCACTCTCACCTTCTCCTCGCCGCCGGCGACCGCCAAGGCCGTATTTGCCTCCTTGACCTTCGCCAGAAATCAGCCCCTTCGCTCTTCCTCCAAACCGATCAGACCTCCAAACTTGGAATCCAAGACCTTTGTTGGATCCAAGCCCGATCCGACTCATGGATAATCGCTGCCCTAATGGGACCATCAGTCCTCGCTCTCTTCAACATCCCCAACGGACGTTGCTTCTTCAAATACAATGCATCGCCGGAACTCTTCTCGTGTATTAAACGTGACCCCTTCGATTCCCGCCATTTATGCGCCATAGGTTTAAAAGGCCTTCTCCTGTCAATCAAAGTCCTTGGGGACGTGTCCGAATCTGATGTCGTATTGGAAGAACTCAAAATCCCTACTGATGTCTCTGGGTTGAATAAGCTTGAGAGAGAAGTCGGTATCAGCATTAGTTCACCCGCTACACTTAATAATTCCCAGGCGACGGCGACGCTTCCCACTTATGGAGTCAAACTCGCGTTTTCGCCTCATTGGAGGCACATTTTGTATGTTACTTTTCCGAGGGAATTAATCGTGTTTGATCTGCAGTACGAAACGGCTCTGTCTCATTCCAGTTTACCGAGAGGATGTGGGAAGTTTCTCGACGTGTTGCCGGACCCAAGTATGGATCTGGTTTATTGTGCTCATCTCGACGGCCGACTTAGCGCTTGGCGGCGAAAGGAGTGAGTAAATATTGTCGCTTAACCAAAACGCAAAGCATATTTGGTTTTCTTATTTGTGTAATTGTTATAGTCATCTGTAATTACAAATGTCGTTTAGAATTGCATAAAAGGTTTAGGAGTTTAAGGGAATTGGAAAAAGCCTAATCATTTGCGTATCACCGCAGAGGAGAACAGGTGCACGAGAAGTGTATGATGGAAGAATTGATGCCCTCAATTGGCACATCCGTCCCAACTCCCTCAGTTCTTGCAGTTGTCATCTCTCAATCGGATGCCACCCTCCAAAATGTCGGCAAGCATTTTTCCGATGGACATCAACCTTCATCTCCTGACAACGAATTTGATCTGGATTTTGATAATCCTTTTGATTTTCGTGATGACTCACATATCATTTGTAAAACACATTTTATATCCATTTCTGATGATGGAAAAATATGGAATTGGCTTCTGACATCTGAAGACCCCACAGATAATCCAAAAGATACATCTGAATCTGATCCTGCACATGCTACAGAAGTCCGTAAAGATCCATCAGCCACTACTGTAAGCCAGGATAAGCTAACACTCAAGGTTAATAGTTAATACTTAACACTAATTAAACTATGGCTATTCAATTTCTATAAGTTCAAAGTTATGATTCTATTTTCTTTATAAATAATGCATTTTGTGAATCAAAATCTTGGAGCAGATGAGTCTTGTTGGCCAACTTCATCTCCTTTCTTCAACACTGACATTGTTGGCTGTTCCTTCTCCTTCTTTGACAGCAACTTTGGCAAGTGAGTTAGTTGTTTTCTCTGTAATTTCCAATTTTCCATATGGTTCTTTAAACTTCATTTTTACATTCATCACTTAGTGAATGAGACATTTATGATATATGATGTGAAGGTGGTGGAAACCATCCTGCTGTGGCTGTTCCACTGGTTGCTTTAGGAACTCAAAATGGTTCAATTGATGTTATTGATGTTTCTGCAAATGTTGTAGCTGCAAGTTTTTCTGTTCATAATAATCTTGTAAGAGGGTTAAGGTGGCTTGGAAACACTAGACTTGTCTCATTCTCATACAGCCCGGTATTAAACATACTAAAAAACCTCCAAATTCATCTTTGAATTTTTATAAATGTTTTATAAAAGTTATGTACTCAATACAGGGAAGTGAGAAGTCTGGAAGCTATGTGAATAGGCTTGTTGTTACATGCCTTCGGAGTGGTCATAATCGAGCATTTAGGGTTTTACAAAAGCCTGAACGTGCATCAATAAGAGCTCTCCGTGTGTCATCTTCTGGAAGGTTGTTCTTGAAAAGGAGTATTGGTTGTTTTGCTACTTCACCTAAATATGGAAGTGTTTTTTTTCTTTTTTGTTGAAGTATGTATTCTTGATATATTTTGTAGGTATCTTTTGATCTTGTTTCGTGATGCACCTGTGGAGGTTTGGGCAATGACAAAAACTCCAATTATGGTAAAACAACTGATTGTTTTCCTACTTTCAAGGGATAATTACAAGTCAACAAAGTGGCCAACCCTTTATCTCAATTTCACAATGGAAGAAACTGCAAATGTTAAAATTGCTTTATATATGAAAAAGTATGAATGATATATATTTAGAACTCTACAAAAGTATTTATTATAGTATTATTCTTTTTGCAGCTTAGGTCTTTAGCTCTTCCATTCACAGTTTTGGAGTGGACTCTTCCTACTGTTCCACGTCCCTCTCACAGTGGAGCCTCTAGACAATCTGTATCTAATTCTCAAGACAACACTTATGTAGCCTCTGAAGGAGCCTCTACAGACACTAGTGAGCTTCTATTCTCTACTAAATCTTACATACTTGATTTAACATTTTACACTTTATCTCTTTCTTATTGTAAATCCAATAAGGTTTTCATCCTTAAAACTCAAAAGTAACTTGCAGATGGAGCTCAAGAAGATTTTACAGAGACTTTTTCATTTGGTTTAGTAAATGGCTCTTGCGGGGTGTTTGAAGTTCATGGACGAAGGATCCGAGATTTCAGGTACTTTTTATTATCCATTTCTTCCATATATATATATATATATATATATATATATATATATATATATAACATTTTTTTTCTTAATCAATTTTTTTATATATTATAAGTTGATGATACGTATTTGTTATTTCCAGACCAAAGTGGCCTGACTCCTCATTTGTTTCTACTGAAGGGATGGTGACAGCTATGGCTTATCGTATGCCTCATGTGGTTAGTTTTTTTTTATAATACTAAAAGATTTTGTCACCGACTTATTTATATTTATATTTATATATGTGTAAAAAGGTTATGGGGGACAGATTAGGAAATGTAAGGTGGTGGGATGTGACAACTGGACAATCTTCCTCTTTCAACACTCATAAAGAAGGCATTAGAAGAATCAAATTCTCCCCTGTTGTTCCTGGAGATCGCAGCCTTGGACGTATTGCTGTTTTGTTTAATGACAACACATTTTCTGTTTTTGATCTTGTAACTTTCTTTCTTACTCATCATTTATGTCCCATGTTTTCTGCTACTTAATTCCAATCTTTTTATTATTATTATTATTTAGACTTCATTTTTTTTCAGGATTCACAGGATCCTTTAGCCAATTCCCTATTACAGACACGGTTTCCAGGAACACTTGTGTTGGAGCTTGATTGGTTACCTGTACGAACTGATAAAAATGATCCATTGGTATTGTGTATTGCTGGAGCTGATAGTAGCTTTCGCCTTGTTCAGGTTAACATGTATGCATCACTTTTTTTTTACTTTGTTTTCAAGATATCTATTTACAACCAAAACATATTATCCAGTACTCACATTTTATACACTTTTTTTTTCATTCAGTGACAAAAAAAGTGGTTATGAATCCCAACCTGGATCTGTGAAAGAGCGATTTAGGCCAATGCCTTTATGTTCTCCTGTATTACTTCCTACAGCACATGCCTTAGTAAGATTGACTTTATTCACACTAATATCATATGGTTTATATGATCTTTTTTTTATACTATTAAAATATCCTTTCTTTTTTTAACCACAGGCATTGCGGTTAATCTTGCAATATGGGGTAAAGCCTTCATGGTTTAACACATGCAGTTCAATCCCAGATAAGGGGGGAGATTCAGATTCCCAAATATCAAGAAGTTCATCAGCATCTGTTGGGTACCTTCGTAGTTATTTAATTGATTTATCACCTATTGGTGACTCTGTTGTCCCTGAGTTACTTCTTAAAGTATTAGAGCCTTACCGAAGAGAAGGTAAAGCTTTATTTTCAGCCTAAATTAATGCAACATAGTTTTCAAATTTTTTTAACATACAATGTTGTAATAAGTAGAATGATGTGATAATAAAAAGTTTGTTTTGTTTTTGGTTTGAATCAGGTTGTGTGCTTGATGATGAGAGAGTGAGACAATATGGTAGTATAGTGAATAAAGGTTGTGCTGCAAGGTTTTCTTTTGCAGCTGCAATATTTGGTGAAACTTTGGAGGCTTGTTTTTGGTTGCAATTGCCTCGTGCATTAAAGCACTCACTGAATATGTTGGCTACAAAGTCTTTGCAAAAAGCACCTGTGAAATTGCCATCTACCATTGATGAGTCATCTGTACTAAGTAGGATGTTCACCATGAAGAGGAGATCTGTACCAAGGTTAACAAACTCAAACTCACTCGTAAGTTTTTTTCTTCCTTGGTATAATTATTTCAGATGGAATGGAATGCTTAATTCCATTGGAATTCCTTTCATTTTCTTCATTTCATTCCTTAGCCATGTTGTTTATTTATTCCATCATGAATGGATGACAGAGTAATGGTGAACTTAGGATGATGGCTTTTGCACAAGAAGAGTTATGGGAAAATGCTAGTGAACGTATTACTTGGCATGAAAACTTGGAGGGTGAACAAGCTATTCAAAACCAAGTTCATGAGTCAGTTTTCATCTCATTTTCTCTGCTTACTTAGTTTATCCAATTTGGAAAGGGATAAATCATAAATGTTTATTTGTTATTAAGGCATTGTGGTGTGGATGAATGATTTATTATTTATAATATAATAAATAATTAAATAGGCTAGTGACAGTTGGTAACTTGGATGCTGCTGTGAATTTACTGCTTTCAACTCCTCCAGAGAGCTCCTTCTTCTACCCAAATGCTTTGCGTGCTGTTGCTCTTTCCTCTGCAGTCTCAAGATCTTTAAATGAACTCGCAGTAAAGGTAACATACCATTACCATCATTTTTTTTATTTTATTTTTCCACCATAAAATATTTTTTTATTAGGTGGTTGCAGCAAATATGGTGAGGACTGACAGGTCATTATCTGGCACACACCTCCTCTGTGCTGTTGGGAGATATCAAGAAGCTTGTTCACAGGTGCTGATTGCTCTCATGTCATGCCATTCACATTCATTTTCTCCTTATTATTATGTAATATAATATTAGATTAGATTTAGAATTCCATCATGAATCAAGATTGTTTTTTTATTATGTTTGTCAGCTGCAAGATGCAGGGTGTTGGACAGATGCTGCAACCTTAGCAGCAACACATTTAAAAGGAAGCGATTATTCAAGGTACTTTATTTATTAATCTCTTCTTTACAATTCAATTCCTACTTTAATCAGTACCTACATATTTACTACTTATCTTGTATGATATATATAATAAAACAAGACAACGTTTTGTTTCTCTCAAGTCTTCGTATTAAGAGAAATATTTCCGATTAGTTTTAGTTATATATATATATATATATATATATATATATATATATATATATATATATTTGTGTGTAGGGTAATGCAAAGATGGGCAGGACACGTGTTGAATGCGGAACATAACATGTGGAGGTATCATCATTTATTTTCAGTAAAAATAAATAAATAAAGGTTTTCAAAATTACCTAGCGTATATGTATATGTATTTGTCCATAATTTCAGGGCCCTAATAATGTATGTAGCAGCGGGATGTTTACAAGAAGCATTGGCGGTGCTGCGTGAAGCTCATCGACCAGATAGTGCGGCAATGTTCATCATAGCCTGCCGGGAAATTCATGGGGAGTTTATAAAGGGGTTAGATCCAAACGACGACGCATCTGTCACAATCAAGGAAAAATTGGTTGTGTTACGAGGACTAAACCCAGAAAGTGAAGAAGTTATTGGTGTCGGGGAATTATACACAAAATACCAACAGGAATTAGTTCATCTCTGTATGGATTCACAACCATATTCCGATTAAAATTTGGGAAATTCCCCAACCTACATACTCATATTAAAGCATATTGTACTACACATAACAATAGCAACAAGATAAAACCTCACTATACACCAAATTACGAATTACATCCTTGTAGTTATATATATTCACTTACATTACGAATTTAGGCTACACCTTTAAAAAATTTTGTAATAATAATATCAGTCCAAAGTATGTATTTTACCCCTTGCACCTTCTTCCTTGTTACACTATGTTAAGTACGTTCATGAGAAGTAAAAAAGATTAAAAGGAAAACAAGAAAATAATTGCCTTTGGGGTGGGAGTGGGACTCGGCCACCTCTCTCTTTCCTAGTTTTCTTTCCATATATAGTTTTTCTTGTTTTTTTAAGGGTAAATAGCACAAAAGACATTAAGTTTATATCAAAATTTTAATTTAACAATGTGTTTTTTTGGTTTCAAATTTAACCCTGTGCTTTTTATTTTTTTACAATTCTAACCACTTGACCGATCAACCAGGTTACCTGCTGACGTGGCATGATGACGTGTCAATTTTGATGACGTGGCATGTTGACATGACATGCTGGCATGTCAAAATTGAATTTTTTTTCCCACAAAAGACACTAAGTTTTCATTTTTTTCGATTTTGACACTAAGCTTAAATTTTTCTTTCAATTTTGACACTTTATTTTTTTTTTCAAATTGAACATCATTTTTTCCAATTTTGTTCAATGTTGACCATTTTCCATTTGAAACCGTATAAATAAATTTTTTTATTACATTTTAAACTGTATAAATACATTTTTTTCGTTTAAAAACCACATTTTATATAAATACAAGGCTTTTTTTTTTACTTTGACTAGGGTTTGACCAATCTTGACCTAGGGGTATTTTGCATATTTTGATTATATGTTAAGTTTGGGCATGATCTAATTAATAGGTGACGGGTAGAGCCGATAATCGGAGCACAGATTTATTCAGCTATTGTTCGGACTGAGATGTGAGTTTTCCTCACTGTACTTGTGTATCGAAGGCACCAATGTCGGCCCACTAGGTTATGTATCCTGGTATTGAGGATGATGTTATGCTAGTTATATGATAGGTGACTAGATCTATATAATTACCTGTATTTGTTGGATATGTGTTTATGTTATTTGTTGCATATGTCGACATATTGTGGTTGGGTTAAGGTGGTCCTGCTTTGTGGTGAAGGCCAAGATACTCTAGGCAGTCCAGATAGGCTGTAGGCCCTGCAAGGCGGTTCAGTCAGGCCGAAGGCCCGTAGAGCGGTCCAGATAGGTTGTAGGCCATGCAAGGCCGTCCAGTCAGGCTGAAGGCTCATTTTTTGATGCTATTGTTGTTATGTTGTGTGATGGTACTTTGGGGAACTCATTAAACTTTAGCTTACGGTTTCAGTTTATTGTTTCAAGTACTTCAAAGGATCGTGGGAAAGAGAAGGCATGGTCATGCACATCTTCCTGTTTTTATGACAATGGATCTTGGGATACTCTCATGTTGATTATACTTTTGAAATAATGTTTTTCTAAACACTTTATGGTTAATGGGTTGTTTTTGAAGAATTTAAATTTCTTTGATTTTTGAGATGTTACATGTTTCTAGTAACAAAGTTCCAATGGTATATTCTGTAATATCGAAGACTCAGTCTGTGAGACTTTGGAATCTTGATATCACAGGAGATTAATGCATGTTAAGTTGGAATTCTATCACATCTTGTGTAACATCCCAAAAATCAAAGATAAAAATTTCATTTTTATTATAATCAAAACATAGCTGTAACTTGATTCAGACATTTCAAAAAAAAACATTTCTAAGTAACACAATTATCATAGTTGAATCCCAAAATCACGTATTGTGGAAAACACGGGTGTATGCGCTGCGATCGCCCCAAGCTCTTTCATTGGAAAACTGGAGTACTTGAAACTGAAAATGAAAACAGTAAGCACAAAGATTAGTGAGTTCCCCATATACCACATATAATGCAAGCATATTGTTAGGAATATCTGGGTGTCCGACCTACCCCTTTGGTCTATTTCAACCGGATACTGGCGAGCATATCTGGGTGCTCGACCTACTCTTGTCAGGCATATATGGGTGCCCGGCCTACCCTTGTCAGGCATATTTGGGTGTCCGACCTACCCTTGTCAGGCATATCTGGGTGCCCGACCTACCCTCCGGTTTATTCCAACCGATTACGGGGTCTATCTCACCCCTACCACTACCATATAAAATCATGCATATCTCACCTAAACATCAAACAATACATACCACCTTAATAATTATCACAAAGACAATCATTAAGCTATATCAATACTAGTGGGTCGGCCTTGGTACCTTCGACCCACAGATTCTACGAAGGGAGACTCGCCTCGAATGCAGAAGCTCACTGAGAGAAATCCCTAGTTGCTGCTCTGACGCCTTCCCGAGCTATCAATACTAAAATAACACCTAATTAGCAATTGAGTTCCCAAACCGAGACCCATAATCCACACTTGGGGTAAAATGACCATTTTACCCCTGACCAAAACTGAAACCCAAGCCCAACACCAAAAAGGTCCAAAACTACAAAATTCATAAAAGCCCACTAATGGCCCAATTTTCCAAATTGGGCCCAACCTCATATGGGCCTTATCCTAAAGCCCAATAATTTCTAGTCTAATAATAAATATTCGATAGCCCAAAGACCCAAGCCCATTGGGCCCACTAAAGTCCAAAACCATTGGCCCCACTAAGGCCCAATACAAAACCTTGGCCCAACTAGACATGCTCAATCAAGAGTTCAAGACTATAAAATTCCTCTGACCAATAAGCCCAACACACAAAGCCCAAACCCAAGCCCGAGGCCCAAATGAGAACAAACCCAAAAGTCCACAGCTGAACGTACGCGGGGCATACCCCTAGGTACGCTCAGCGTACTCGAAGATACAGATCGGGGCCTCAATTCAGTACACGGGGCGTACATGAACTTACGCGGGGAGTACCCTCTATTTCTCGAAAACTCATATTAGGACTTAATTCGTTAAGTCCTTCCGTTAAAACCTCAGGATACCTTCCAACTAATCTCTTAATGCATAAAGTTGGCAACTTTATGCATTTACATGACTCAATGGGACCCAATAACCATTTTAATCCATTAAAACCCAACAAGAACATGCATGGACCATATCTAAGCATCAAGCAAGCATTTTTTATGAACTTATGAACTTAGAACTGCTAAGAGTGGGAACTCAAAGCTCCTGGAGTGATTTCCAACCACTAGATCTCACTCTTGAGGTCAAAATGGAACCAAAACCCACATAATCTTAGATCTCAACTTCTAACGAGCAAGTTAAGAACTTTTTACCTTTTATGAGCTTTAGAATGTAGCAAATAGTCCAGATCTACAAGCCTTCTCTTTGATTCACCACCTTGCACAATACTTCCACTCTTGAATGTACACCAAAACCCACCAAAGATGCACATAAAAAGGCTCACAACACTCTTGGATGAGGCTATAGCTCGAGATTAGGGTTTATGACAATGGAGTATGAAGAGAGGCTCACACATGGGACTTAAGGTGTTTAAATAGTGAGTCAACCCTAAAAATTTAGGGTTTTGGGATCCTGCACGTACGCTGGGAGTACTATCTATACGCTGGGCGTACAGCTCCAGTCCTCCCGCATCCACTTTTCCATCACTACGCTGGGCATACCCCAGCTTATGTTGGGCATACTCACACGCATGCCACCTTTGCATGCATGGGACCCGAATGCAAACTTTTCCCATCAAGGGTCAAATCTTCCAATAACTTCAAAATACCATAACTCCCTCATCCTAGGCCCGTTTCCAACGAACCTTATATCCACGAAAATGTGGAGAGAAACCTTACGCTTCTAATGACACACACAAGCCTTAAAACCTCCCGAACAAAACCAAAAACTCAAAAGATCGAGATATCACATTACAATTATACCCTTGGCCTTCGAAGACACAATCGAGCACTTGGATCACTTATACCATGCCACCCACATCCAAGATGGACCAAATCCTTCCCTTCCTAAGGCCCTAAGCCTTATGACAATTGATAATTGGGTCGCAGCCTCGAGTAATGATGTAAATTCTGAACCGAGTGTTACAACTCTCCCTCACTTAAATTAGATTTCGTCCTCGAGATCGCTCCTTACTAACACTCATAAAAAACAAACACTTCAGGAACGCACCCGAAAATTCTGTTGGGTTTTGAGCACTATAACACTCATATGGTGCACATGCAACCCTAAATTCTTTGGATCTATGTTTTCTCTATTATACATGCATATTTTCAATTTTTCCAAAGAATTTTCCTAACTAGCATACAAATTGCCAAATAAATAATACATCTAGATAGATGACATACCTTTTAGAAGGACTTGTAGTTCTTGACCTTTGAAAGCTTGAGCACCTTAAGTGTGATGCCTCTAATGGTTCACAAACACCAATATGCAAAACGATGACTTAAGAGAATAAGCTACTTATCTCAAAGAGAATGTGCAACCGATTTTGGCTCATGGAGGGTTCTATTTATAGTGTTGCACATGCTAGGGTTACACTTTGTAAACCCTAATGCTCCATGACTTTCCACATTCTTATGTTCCATGGGTGTAACCTCCATGGACTATCCATGGATTAACTTATTGGTTTAGCCCATAATCGTGGATCATTAGCCTACATTACAATAATTATTGATTTACATAATCAATCCCCATATATTTAATTAGTCTCTTTTGACTACAAAATTAATTCCAAATTAATTATTGATCAATACTAATTAAATAATTTCGTATTAATATATTATACTTGTAATATATTAATAAACCATAAATAACCTTATTCTTAAAATCCATCCTATCAAATTCCACTGGTGAAGGCAACCCAAAAGGACTATACTACAATCGGGTCAAGTACATACCAGTTATAGTTATGGGCTTAGACACCAAATCCAACAGTCTCCCACTTGGATAAGACTAATAACTATTACTGCTAATGCACTTCAGGATCCGACTTAGCAATCGTAAGCTTTCAAAAGCCGTTGTCGAACTCTGACCTAGTCAGTGACGCATCCTTCAGATAAGGGATCAT